ATTTCTAAATCAATGCTTTTTGGCCCCGTTTTGAAATTGAATCTTGCCTGCTATCTTTTGAGTTAACTGAATATGCTATTGAGCAGAATGCTTTTGCTAGTATTCTATCTCCATTTGTGCAGGAATTTCCCTTAAGTTAAGTGAGACGGCGGGAGCTGCTGTAGCAGCTCACTCCTCAGCTTTTCTCGTGACATACGCTCACATAGACATCAACACTTCGTACACACCTTCCTCTTAATATCATAAGCAGAAGGCAGTTTCTAATTATTTGGAGACAAATGAAAGTTCATTAAATGAAGGCAGAGGGTCAGAAAGGTACTTAGGAATACTTAAAAAAATCCTTACTAAGGAACACTTAATCATAAGTAGATTATCCTTCCCGAAGCGAATGCAGTGTATTTGCATCATTCTCCTTGGCAGTTAACCTTTTCGCATTTTATGCTTATGGCATTTCTGTCAAGCGCTCTGAGTGCTCCAGTCAAAGTCAGAGGACTTTGGACACAGTTCGAGAAGTAGCACGTGTCTGGAGGAGAGCCTGATGCAAGGCAATTGGCAGAGGGACTCATAGAAACCACAGGGCAGCTGGATAAGAAAAAGGAACCTAGGATGTGAACAACATAGCTCCTTTGGACACATCATGGGGTACTTACGGGTGTCCTTTTTGGGTGTAGGCTCTTGGATGGGGAAAAGCAACAGAAGTGACAGAACAAGCTTCCTAAGCCAGCCTATGTATTTGTGCACACGGGGTTTTGGACTGGGAAGTCGGTGCTGGATTTGCATCTGTGCCTATGATCAGGAAGCAAATGATTCAGTGGTCACCGTAAGAGCAGGGCTCATTTAGGAAGCAAAATGAAACTCTATTTAAGCAAAGTGATTCAAAAGGAGGGATTTTTTTCCTCTGGCAAAATGTTCACTAATATTGTTCTAAAGCTAAGAATGTGACTCAGAGACAAAACCCACAGAAATCCACTTATGTTCTGAAATGTTGCCTTTCCTTGAAAGAAAAGATGAGAGGATAAATAAGAGACATGCTTTACTTAAATGTTAACGCATGAGTCAGGGAAACTTTCAGGGTTTTAACATGGTAAAGAGTCTCATGAATGTCTATATAAAATGCTGCACACAAGAGTGAAATCAGCATAGATTAGAAATTTTAAAATACTATAAAAGGGTAGCATTTACAGGATTTAACTCTTGTAAAATTTATCTGCAGAATCTGATGCACAATTTATTTATATGATTAGGGTTTTTAATTAGATTTTAAAACCTGGCTCTTAATTTTTTAGCTGTTTGACGGGGCAAGTTAGCCTTTATAAATGTCAGTTTTTCATCTTTAAATGCTTTTTACCTCCTAATGTGATTGTGAGAATTCAAGAAAATAATAATATACATGAAGTGGTTAGCACAGTGTCTGGGCTACAACAAATGCTCAGTAAAAATTAATTCCTATAGTTAGCATTTTAGTCTTAAGCCATAAACAAAACCTATCGATTATTTCCATATTCTAGTTGGGTGGTAATATCAATTTACTCAAAGAAAGAAAGAAAGATATTTTTGTACTCGCCTAAAGCAATCAGAGCTTTTAGTCAAAAGATAAAAATTCCTCAATAAAGCTCTAGGCAGTGTCTTTTTCGTTATTTTTTTATGCCTAAGAAGGAATAGTATCTGATATGTTTTTGAACACCTACCATGTGTCAGGTACTCTGGAAGTTGCTTCCCTCAGAGCAATCCCATGAAGTGACTCTAATTGTCCCACTGTCACAGACAAGGAAACTGATGAGCGAAGAGATGAAAGACATGGCCAGACTGATGCACTGTGGTCAGCAGAACAGGGACTTGAAGGCCAAAGTGAATTTTTCAGCTCAACTCACAACACCGTGAAAGTGGAAGAAACGAAAACTTGATGGCCAAAGTCTCACCCATCTCCAGACTCTGAGGTAATAGCAACATTTCTATTTTGAGGTTCCTATTAAATTCTTATCCTCTAGCTGAGAGGCCTGGCAGATGGCGAATGTCACCCTTGAGTAGGCACCTCAGTCAAGTGATAAATGACATTCAGGGTGTAGGATCCTTTCTCTGCTTAGGGAAGGGGGATGGCTGTGCCTGGTTCAACTTACTCAGTCAGCTTGCTGGCCATTCAGAGCTAACAGGAACATGTAGTGCTGCATTTAGCTGGCAATAAAAGCTTAAGCACTGTGGGTAGTTGTTTTGGAGAAAGATTGACTTTAAAATCATGCACCTGATTATTTAGCAGCTTTGGAAACATCTGAGAAGAAAATGTTCTGTTGTCAGGTAAAGCTGCTTTGGCAACAGGATTTTTATAATGCTGGGCAGTGGTGGAGGCTGCTTACTATGGACAAAGCACAGACATTTCTGGTCTCTGTATGTTGCTTCAGAACATTCTGTGCTCTGCACATTTTTAGGGAGATGAACATGCCTTTGTGGGTCACAATGATGCAAATGATTTACTCTTTACAAATACATTTCTTAAGGACCATTCCTTGATCAAAGCAGTTTTCTATTAGGTGTTAGGTATTTTATTCTTTCCAGAGCATTCACGCCTACAGCTCTCTTTTAATTTTTGCAGCAGGAGAGCACTGAACCTGACTCGCTTTGAGGCCCAAGTTTACCCTTTACAGGCTCCATGACCTTCATGAAGTAAGCCTTAGCCTCTATGAGCCTATTTCCTTATCTATAAAATGGAGGTGTTGATGCTTTCTTTTCAGGATTGCTGCGAATATTAAATGACCTAATGTAAGTACAAGTGCTTTGTAAAGTGCACAAAGTCACTTAAAAAGAACCATTACTGTTATTAGTATTTATATTTGGGGATTAAAGTCATTTGATGTTAATAAAGGAGCACTGATGGTTTAATGACATCTTGTATATCTACAGTCATAGTGAGATGCCAGAAATGGGTAATGAATCAGACATGTAATTGGTAATTGAACAAAGACGTTAGAGGGGCATGGAAGAAGATCTTGAGTGGTAGAAGCTGTAGGAGAAAGGAGAACCAAAGGACAGAACATGCTTCGAAGACTTCCTAGAAGAGACAATACCTTTTTGCTCCATAGAGGTTGCGTGTGCCATCATTGTATGGGCTGCACTGGAGAGTCAAATGAGTTAGTCTGTGATCTGCCGCTTCCTAACTGAGTGAATTGTTCAATCTCTCTGCAAAGGGTGAAGATAATAACACCTGCCTCAAAGGGTTATGAAGATTAAATGAGATGATATATGTAAAGTGCCTGTAGGGCAACATGACTACAAAATATGTTTTTCTCTTCCTCCTTTTTTTCATTTTTGTTTTTGTTTTTTTTTGCAAGAGCTCTAACTAGGCAAGCCACTATCAATACCAGAAGCTTATGGGCTCCTCAGAGCATTCAGGTAAGGTCTGAAACCAATCAGTCGAGTCCTAGTAAATTCTCCGGGATTACTTAGAATGCTGTCCAAACTTGTTAATGGAGTTTGAGTGTATGTAGCCACTCCAATTATCGTCAGGTGCAGAGAAAGTTGTAGGTGCTCGGTATGTGGAAAGATTCCAAAGAATGAAGGGTTTACAAGGATTAACTTCAGGACTCCTCCAGAGATAAGGGTGCAGTGTTGAGTGATGAGGAAAGTCATCACCGGCTAAGCCAGACTTTGGTAAGAAGCTCTTGCTGACAGTTGCCTTATGAAGACTCAGGTTTTCCCAACTATTGAGTTGATTTATGGAGTTATTTTAAAAGTATTTGTTATCCACCATTCAGAAGCACTTCATACCTTTGAGCAAACAACGGACGGGTTTATAAATGTAAAAAGTTCAATTGTAAAACATAACTTTTTAAGAATTGTTAATTTAAAAGACATATTAATAAGAATGAGGGTTAATGATTTTAGCGATTAAATATATAAGTGTCTGAAATTAAGCAAGTTAAATGAAAATCAGTTGAATAGAAGGACGCTGTTTTTCCTTGTCAATTTTAGCCCAATGTGGTCTGTTTGGATAGTGTGGTGAGTATGGACAAAGCATGGTCATAACACAGCTACTGGATATTTTTATCCTCCGGGACTTTTCCTATATTCCTCACTAAAGAGAACAAATTTGCAGCGGCTGAAGTTTTGAAAGTTACATATATTTCAAAGATGTGTATTATTGTTATTATTATACCACAAGAAATTCCATCTGTTTTCCATGTGTAGGTTAGAAAATGATTCTGACATTTCCCATATCTCTTTCTTCCATGTGGCCTATATTTTGTGATAATACTAATAATCCCATCTTATATTTAAGCTTTCCATTTTTTTCATGTCTATCACCTCATTTTAAGCCAAGGCAATTTGCAAACTTTACTTGTTTTATCAGAAGTTGCTGATTCTGTACTGATTATGTATCATGGGCAGGGATGGACATTGAGAAGTGAGGTCAACATCTGTGACCAAATAGTCAGGGAAGTAGGAGAGAGGAAATGTTAATGACATACTCCTCTTTAAAAATATCATGGTTGGGACTGGGGAGGACCTGGGAGAGGTGTGATGGATGGACAGTGTGAATACACCTGAAGAACTATCACCTGTCCTAAGGTGAGAGTGGGGCTTAGGGCTGTGAAGGGCTTTTTGATCATCTGCCATGTGCCAGGTAGGTGCTACTAACTTAGCAAATATATTTTTAACCTGTTCAACAACTCTAAAAGATAGATATTGTTGCTACCATTTTGTAGATGACAAAATAGGCTCAGAGAGCAATGAGTAAGTCACAAATACATATTTTAAAAATAACTTGTGTCGCTATGCATAAGCGACATTTACAGTAAAATTTCTACTATTGCCTCCTGGTGTGTTTCCTTAGCTTTTATTAGAAATCCAAATGGAAGATCTGATGTGTCCCTAAAAATGAAACTGGCTCTTACACATACAACATTGGAAAAAATCAAAAGAAAGGTAGCTGTGGAGGATCTCGGTGAGGGCCATACCTGAGGATGCTTTGTTCCAGAACCTGGGTCTGGTGCTGGTCTTGTTGATTTTGCCTTTTCATCTCTTCCTGTTCTTTTCCACTGCCGATTCCATCCAGAAGCCATTTCTCCCTTAAAGCCTTTTTCTGATAACAGGAAACATAAAGATATTTTCTTATATCTGTCAACGAGGCCCAAATCTATGAATTTCAAACCTATGAATTTCAATAGTGGACATATTTAGGAGAAATTATTTTCTGTCACTGCCTTGCTTGAATAAACCTGGCCTCCTTATTCTTTGCACCTTTCTTGTCTTTCCAAAACCAGTTTTTATGTATCTAAATCCTATTTATCCTTCAAGTTCTTTCTCCACGAAGATCTCTTTCCTCCCCAGGTAACCACCCCCTTCAGTCCATCCTCACCCTCAAAGAACTTTCTTCAGAGCCACGAAACACTGTGCACTTATATACACTGTATGTTTATAGCAGTCATATAGGGACCCTGTCATGTGATGCTTTACTATTATTTCTTTGGTTGATGGACACATATTTTGTGAACTTAAAGTAAAAAGCTCCTTGAAGCCATTTTGATAGTCATCCCAGTGACAGTATATAGTGACTGCTCCAAAACAATCTTTTGAGAAACTAACTGGAATGGTGGGCAAAACAAGAGATTGCTATTATATCCTAAACTAATTCAATATTAGTCTTAGGCTGTGTGGTTGACAATTATTATTTTGCCTACCCAGTATATCTTCTTTCTCCCTCTATGTTCCCTTTGCAGTTTATGCCTTGTATATAGTGTTTATCACAGTATAAATGCCGTTATAAGTTTATGTGTCAGTTACCATTTTAAGGACACAGATTGGACTTTATTTTATATTCTTAGTGTCCAGTTTAGCACCTTCTACATAATAGGTGCTTAATAAGTGTTTATTGATAAAAGGCCCTATATGCACCTATATAAATTCTACTTATCAGTTAAGAGTCAGCTTAAATCCTGCACCTTTAATTGAGCCTTTTCTGACCACCTCAGATTAAAGAATTACTGCTTATACTCATATTTAAATTAAAAAAAATCATCATTTAACTTTTCCTAATTGTTTATTTAATCTTAAATTTCCTGCTAGGTTGCAAGCAGAGGGGCTACAGCCCTGTAGGGCTATCGCTAATCTCCATGGTATTAACATGCAAATTAGGAAAAGGCACAGTTCCCCACTCCCACACTTTTTGAGTTAGTGCACAGCTTAGGAAGGTGGACAGCACCTTTGTGCAGAGAAAAAGAAACTTCATCCTCCAGATAGAAGCACCCCTCTGTCAGGTATCTTTGTGCAGTGCACAACTTGCACAACTGTGTACAGCAGTCTAAAGTATGATAAATGTTTTGATTAGATTGAAGCAGAAGAGGTTCCCTGGGTTCCAGAAAGCAAATCTTTAGGGAAGATCATGTATTACTATTTGGACTGTTTTGGCAATTACTGAAATGAGGTGTCACCTAAGTAATAGACGTTTTAGTGTGTCAGAGTTTTCCTATGTGAAACTTAGTTCTTAAAATGAACAGAGGAGATATTTAAACCTTTTCTCCTATTGTGAGCTCTACTGCTGTTTGGGTACCCATTATGCAAGGATACAAATTGCTGAATGCTAGAGAGCTATCAGTTTACTCAGAAGCAGTAATTTGTTCACTGTGAGACCCAAATTGTGTGTAAATTGTGTGTGTTGGTGAGGGTAGGGGGGGTGGGGGGGAGGAGTAGAGAGGGGAAGAGAGAGGGAGAGAGAGAGAGAGAGCACAAGTGCTGATTTTTGGAGTTAGAAACGGCCTATCTCAAAAATTGTTGTAGATTTGACTGACTTCATTTGAGTTGCACTGAAATAACTTGGTAAAATTTTATTTTATTTTATTGATTTTTCTAGGAGTATACACTGCATTTCTTGGCTATGTATACTACTCATGTAAATTCAATGTGACATACTGTAAGGATAGCAGGCCAGCTATGCTTTGAAATGATCCATCAAATGTTGGAAATGTCAATTTGTATAGGAGCAAAGACACAAACAGAAACAGAGAACTGAGGCTAATTGGATCTTAAATTATGTTTCTGTTCAGAAGTTGTTCCTTGATCCAGCAGAAAGATGAGTTTAGCTGAATTCAGCAAATTTAATTTCAATTTGTGGACCCCATGAGCATGTGGCATTGTTTCATTCAGGGGTTCATTACATCTACTGATAGCGTCCCTGCCACATAAGTAGTTTCCTGCTTGGGCCTGTTCACAAGGAGCTCCTGTTTGTCACTTGGTTGCATCCTGTGACTAAGCTATGTAATAAAATGTTGAAACTCAGTGTGCTTTAATTATACAATGACCCCACCCATGGAAGATGTAAAGTCTGATTTTAAAAATGGAGGTTTATTTTTGGTTATGACCTCATGTTCTGTCAAACAAAATAAAACAAAACCCCAAATCATACTGAGGCAGGGTTGGATTCATTGCGCTGAGCTCCTAAACCAAGCATCCTTGACCGGGACAGACAGTGTCTGCTCTGCACCCCCTGGGGAAGGCTGGCCTTTCATTGATGTCAAAAGGAACTTCCTAGCTGGATCCGCTTCCTAGGGATGTTAAGCAAGAATGCATTCAGGGCCAAATGATCAAGGCTGAATTCTCAAGGTTATCCAGGAAAATGAGGAAATTCAGTCATAAAAAATAAAAGTAAAAATACAATGTTTTCAGCTTTCCATATGCTTGCCAGACTTTATTCATCTCACGTGCAATTATTACTAGCTTGTTGGCTTCCCCTATGGCTATTAGGGTGTTTAGTAGAACTATGTTGAAATATTTTCCTTCCTAAAATATCTTTACTGTTGAAATTTGAGTGCCATCAGGATTTCTGAATACAAAAGCATTGAAATGAAATTAAAGACATAAGTTACCTTCAAATGCTGGTGCTTTAGTTTTTCTTCCTCTATTTTCAGGCGCTTCTGTGAGATTTCTTCCTGTATTTTTCTTTTATCCTAAAATAAAAAGAATTCCAGGGTAATCTATTTTTTCAGTTTGCTGAAATAGGCTTCCTTGGGGTTGTCATTATCGAATGGCTGGCCAGCAACATGCTCTTGGCATTGGTATGCAGCTGCCTGCTTTGGGGGCTTATTTCAAAGCAAAGGAGAGTAAAGTGAGACATTCAAAGCATTTTGCTGATGAAAACAAAATAAGGTGCTTTTCCAAAGGAAGTTAAAATACTTTACTACTTTTCCTTCCCCTCTCCCCTTTTCTCTCTTCCCCACTAGCCTAGCAAGATTGAGCAAGATTGACTGATGCAATGGAATAAGTGAATTTTAAGGAGGGAATTTTGAAATAGGCATGAGGAAACGTTGTGAGGAGAGAGACTCTTTCTGGCAAGAGGATGAAGGAAAAAGGTCGGTTTATGTGGGAACACAGGATAGGCTCTGCAGCATGAGAATACTGGGAAGCTCGAAAGTGAGGCTGCTTCTTCCTTGTATAACTTGCTATGGGAAGACAGAGAAAAACGGGAACAGATGATGCCTAAGTTGACATTAAGAGGGCTTTTTGCTGAGGTTAAAAAAAATCATGGAGAGATATAGTATCTTTCATCACGTTTAAATGACATTACCTCAAAAAACCCAGAAAGCATATCTATTAATGCACATGGGTTATATGTTTCGGAAAAAAATAACATATAGACTAAATAGCCTGGGTTTGTATTCCAGCTCCACCATTTACTAGCTCTGTGTCCTTGGACAAAATTCTTAACTTCTCTGTGCCTCAATTACCTCATTGTAAAATGTGGATAATAAAACTATCTTACAAAATATGAGCATTAAATGAAGTAATATATGTACAAGTTCGTAGAATGGTGCTTGACACATAGTGTCCATATGTATTTGTTTAACAGCATTAAGTAAATAAACACATCACCTGTTAATCACACAGAAAGCAACACATTAATTTTAATAATGCTTCCACTGGCCTGATCTGTTTTAGAGGTTTCCTCTCTGGAATTGTTTGAGATATTTTACAAGCTATGCAAAAAGGCCCTTATTTCCTTTTTTTTGTAGCAATTATGACATTATCCTCCATCTTATTTATAAGAGATGGTTTTAAATCGGCTTTCAAAATTGAAAACTCCCAAAGCATAAAAATGTGTTGCCGATGAAGACATCTAAAAGAAGTAGCCTCAGAAGGTAATTTAGAGGAAGAGTTCCAAAAATATTTGGCAGCGTTATTGAAATAAGCGCATGGCTTCCTGATGTGACTCCTTTGAAGATAAAAACTCTTTTTTGATGCATAAGTTCAGGTACATTTGTTTAAGAAAAATAACACGTTGCGCTCCAACTTTATGTCATGCTTCTCTTTGTGTGTCAGAATAGATGACTTCATCAGTGTTCTGTTTAAATTTCATAAGCAGCTCTTTTGAAAAAAAAATAGCTAGGCAACACAGCATGGGTCTTTAGAATCACTTCTTATCTTTGGATAAAATCTGGTCATTAGAAAATAAAAACTGAAAACTCATGAATCGATTCTGTACTATATCTAAAGGTTATTAATTGAGCAAATATCAGTAATATTTTAAATTCACTTTGCCAGTTTGGTAAGTGTTTCTAGGTACTGTTTCACTTAATAGTCATAATGACAAAGATATGTTGTAGTATTTCACTTAATAGTCACAATTATAAAGAGACATTGTAATAATTTTCATTTTACAAAAGGGGAAATGCAAGTTTAGGGAGTTAACTATTTCAAGCTCTCACAATTAATAAGTAGCAGAGCCAGGATTTGAACCCAGGTACTTTGAGTTCAGCCTCCACCCTCTTAGCTAATTCACTACACCATTTCCCTGTGTGGGAAATTAGTCAGCTTCTCACAGCTTCCCTCAGTGTCCTCTCCATTGTGAAATACCATGGCCTGGAGTCAGCACCAGTACAGCCTGCAGGAGGAGTCGGGCCTCTCATTAGAAGGGAGCATAATTCTAGCTCCCTGCCTGCTGCCATGTAACCATCCACCTCTCTCCATGGGTAGCTCATAAAGAAGAGCATGAAAGTATGTGAGACAGTGACTGCTGAATCCAGCAATGCTTCCCAGACCTGTCTGCAGCCAGTTTGGGCTGGTTTCATCTTGGGGTTGGAAATAAGGTAGTGAAAGCTGTGGCTGGAGGCAGGGCGTCTCAAGTGTTTTGGCAACACCAGGCTTATAGACGGGTTGCTAGGGAATAGCAATGTTTTGTCACTCAGAGGTAATGTGATGCCTCTCATATCAGTCTAGGTAGTTAAGAAGGTAATTTTATAATGTCGTAGGCATGATTCTATTTTAAGATAGGAGCACTTTTTTCTCATAGTTATCAATAGCCAGTTATTATCCTTCTGCCAAATTTCACAGGTATGTAAGTAGTATTGAAAAATAACATGGCAATAATTCAGTTTCAATGTGGCGGGATAAACCATAAGTCAACTTTAAGTTGTACGTCAAGCTCTATTGTACACCAAAGTTGTCACAGCCAGCTTCTTTCTTCCCAATTCATTATGAAACAAATATTGGGTTGTTGGAAAAGTCATGACACATTTTTGCAATGAAAAACATAGGAAAAATATGTCATGATTTTTCTGACAACCCAATAGATGTGAAATGCCATCTGCTTCCCAAAATTTTCCCAGAAGCTTGAGCATATCTATAGACACCTGTTGTAACCTGGCATGTCAGATGTTTATTAATGTTAACCATTATGAATAACTTACATTTCTGTTTACTTTTTTTTTTTTTTAAAGATTTTTATTGGGGAATTAGGGGATGGGAACAGAGCTGGGGAATTGGGGGAAGGGGAACAGACAAGTTGCTGTCCTTTTGTTCTTCAGTCTAGTTGTGGAGGACATTGCTTCACTGGCCCAAGTTGGCACCATCATTGCGCTCTTCCTGGGCAAGGCAGATCAGTCGCCGGCTTCTGGACGGCTGCTCACTGTGGCTGCTGGCCGCTCCCACTGGCTGCTGGCTACACATGGTAGCCCATGGCAACCCACTGCCACAGGGGCTGCAGCCTACGCCGTTGCCGGCTACTCACCGCAGCCCAGCTCCAGGTTGAGCTGTTGTTCAGCATCTTAGCTGTGGAGGGCAGTGTCACTGGCCCTCATATGTGGGATCCGAACTGGGGCCCTCTGGCATCCCAAGCCAGCTCTTAACCATCGCGCCACTCGGCCAGCCCCTGTTTACTTCTTTAGTATTCAACTAACAAAGAATTTTTGCCCAATGAACAATTGCCTAGATTTTTATTTTTCTGACTTAGTATATTTTAGCAGTGGACACCCACAAATTCCAATTGTATAAAAAGCCACCTCTTAATTATTTTGAAAATTAATTTATTTACCTTGTACAACTATAAATTGTGACCATCTGTGTATGATTCAATGATATTACCTCAATCACACACTTGATAAAAGTGAGCATACTGTATTTTTGAGATATTATTGATATTGATATAGCTAATATTATAAAATGCCTGAATCTATCATGAAGGCAAGATTGATCCTAAGTTATTTAATTATGAATTTATCCAATAGTTAGGATATGCTATGTTCAAGGTGATGTTAGGAGTTGTGCAATGTTTAAAAATTATTTAGAATAGATACTTTCACCAAGGAGCTTACATTCTCATGAAGAAAGAAAACAATTTGTACAAGTAACTATAGCCTAAGAAGTGAAGTGGTAAATGTCATCACTAAAGCACAAGTAGCGTGCTCTGAGAGGTACGGGGGGGACAGGGAAAGGTAGCTTCTAGCTGACATGGTTAGGAGAGGTTTTGAAGTAGCATCTGAGTAAGTACGTTGGTAGTTGCTGGGGGGCTGGGGAGAGGGGAGAATGGGCATTCAAATCAAGGGCTCAGTGTGAGCAAAAGCCTGGAAGTAGAAAATGGGACATTACTTGGAACAGCAAGACTGGAACCCAAGTTGCCATGCAGGGAGTAGTGGGCAATATAAGAATAACAGGATGAGGACAGATCCTTAATAGAAAATACTGAATGGTAGGACAAGGGTTTTGGAATTTATTTATGTATTGAGATAAGGATCAATGAAAGGCTTTCAGAGAAAAAGAGAGAGAGAGAGAGAGAGAGAGAGAGAGAGAATTAAAGCTATGTTTTAGGCAGTTAAATATACCTCATTGTGTAGTAGATATTGAAGAAGGAGAACTTGAGCGGGAAATCAGTTAGGCTATAGCTCGTACACAAGACCCTGAGAGCTTGAGCAAGAAGCAGCCGAGAGCATGGGTGTCAGAGAGGACTTGCACTGGCAGAACTTGACAACGGATGACATGGATGCAGGAGAGGAAGAGGTCAAATGGGCGTACACCTTTTATGCTAAGGTGCATAGGAGAGCAGAATCACTAATAGAAATAGGAAATTCAGGAGAAGGAAAAAAGAGTTTGAGAGGGAAAATGGTGGATTGACACCAAGTTGTAGGTGACTTTGGGACAAGCAGATGGAGTTATCTGGTAGGCAGCTGAAATGTTGGATGGAGAGAGATCGGAAGAGAGGTCAGAGCTAGAGATAAAGATGCAGGAGTTTTGGAAAGGGTAGCTGAGGCCAGCAGACTCTGTCATATAACAGGAGACATTTTTATGAAAAGAAAAGGAGAGTTAAGGATAGATCCTTCAAGAAGAACCTACATACAAAAGTATAGGAGGAAGGGAACTCACAGGGAAGTTTGTTTTGGGATCAATCAAATATTATTTATAATAGCAGTTGGTGAATTGAGCTAATTCAATTAGTCAAATGGTTTCAGATTCATTCTGCTAGAAGCCGATATTTTATAACTTCATGACTAGCTTTACTGACATTTTCATTGTTTAAGGTCTCAAAAGAACAATAATAGAAGCTGCTTGTTTGAATTTAAATACTTTCAACAATGTAGAGCTTCCTGTGATGTGCAAATAACGGTAACCTTGAAAGACAGGGATACGCTAACAATAGTCCTAGAAAAGAATCCTGGGCATAGTTAGAGGTTTACTAGAT